CCTGCTTACTACCTAAAATATAATTTAAATTTAAAAGGTATTACCAATTTAGTTGTAAATGTCACATGAGCCTGAAAAAGACAGTACTGATTGTAAATATAACTGACATTTTAAAATGACGTAAACATAACCAGATGGTCTTAAAAGATAAATTGCAACCAATTATCACAACAGTCTACTTGTTAATGAATACAATAGCTCAGAGCTAAGCCACCCAAAGATATTTTTGTTCATAAGCATCCGACACCGACTCTGCATGGATCTAAGCAATGAGTTGACAGGAAATACATTTTCTTGATTGCCTTTTTGTTGCTTGTCATGACTGTGGCAGCTTGTCTATCAAAGACACTTACATGAGCTTTAAATGCCGTGAGTTGATTGTAACATAACCAGATGGTCTTAAAAGATAAATTGCAACCAATTATCACAACAGTCTACTTGTTAATGAATACAATAGCTCAGAGCTAAGCCACCCAAAGATATTTTGTTCATAAGCATCCGACACCGACTCTGCATGGATCTAAGCAATGAGTTGACAGGAAATACATTTTCTTGATTGCCTTTTTATTGCTTGTCATGACTGTGGCAGCTTGTCTATCAAAGACACTTACATGAGCTTTAAATGCCGTGAGTTGATTGGCGGAGAGGAGCTGTTGTTAACACATAAAGTGTTGATTAAAACCTTGCATCAAACAGATCCAGTAACACTGTATTCTGTCTTTATCAAATGCCAGTTATGAACAACCTGCAGTGAAGTGTAATAGTATTTACTAGCATCTGTGTGAGGCAGAGTTACAAATATATTTTTATACTTTATGAGTTTATGAGGTAACTTTGCATGGTACAGTTTATAATACAGCAGAATGTATTACTGGATTCAGGGTTTATGTAAAAGTGGAGTATTATGACATTACTGTATGTTTTGACATAACGTATGACTTCTGGCAGCTCCTTTTTTTCTCAAAGAGAGAGTGCGTCATGGCATTTTGATGATGGCTGTGTCTGCCTGCAAAGTGTTTTGTAAGGGAACCCAAACATGCATTTAAATTGGTTTTATTCGAGTCAAAATATTTTTACATGACCAAAGCAACCTGAATGCATTAGGTCGTGTTAGGTAAAAATAGTTGGTTCCTGTATAATTATTTTGGCAATGCCAAAGTAATTAAGCTTGCTTAAGAACAAATAGTTCTCACTTGTTCTGTTAGTGTCTGTATGGTTTTTGAGGACAGCTAGTGCTCTAGATGTTCCTAATTTAGGATGGTCCTGTTATGTTTTAATGTGTCTGCGGCTGTTAAAACAGGTCTGTGCCATCTGGCCTGATGTTCGTTTGACCTGAGACTTCACCACAAGGACAAGCAGCCATCAGTGTACGCTATTCACAGAATATATTTCTTTTCCATCTTCCTGTTCCTTTCCTTTTTACATTGCATTATATAAAATTAATCCACCCATCTCTAATTAATAACAGAAACACACACATACAGTATATATGGCCAAAGGTTTGCAATAATTTTGATTTATGAATTCTTTTAAAAAGATTGATTTCTGAAGGATCATGTGACACTGAAGACTGCAGTAAAGATGCTGACAATTCAGCTTTGACATCACAGGAATAACTTACATTTTAAAATATATTCAAATAAAAAAAGAGTTATTTAAATAGTAATAATATTTCACAATATTACAGTATTTTGAATCGAGCAAATGCAGCCTTGGTGAACATGAGACATTTTTCAAAAACATTACATTTAAACGGAACCTGCTCAAATCCCAGTGAGACGATATATCATTTTGCTCACTGTCGTGTGTATAATTTGGAGCTGTGATTTGATGGGGTCTTTATGTGTTCCTCTGAAGTCGATCAACAATCAATTTCCTTCTGCCTACCATCCAATTTCTCAACTAATCTAGGCCAGCCTTCTTCACTGCTAACAAATGCCAAAGATCACCGGTGTCATAATGCAATCTCAAACCTCATTATCCACCGAGAGAATGCACCTTAGGTCTGAAACGATTCAATGTGTCAGGCTGCTCTATGAGTGATGTAACTGCATTGTCACAGTGACTGTCATTAGAATGCACATTATCTGTGAAGCTGCTAAAACTTGTGACTGGTAATAACACATAAGAGCTGATGGTATCTTTATCAAACCTAACTGTTCACAGAAGTCAGCATTTCACATAGTGCAGCTTGGCTGTTAAATGAAAAATCATTAGACAAAAGAATGGCATTCTCTCCAGTGAAAGTTCATAAAGCCGACAAGTCTGTGAGTTTTAAAACACTGTCAGATGGTGATAGTAGGGAAAAAATAACATATTTACAGCCAAACATGTTTTCATTGTCTGCATGGTTGCAAGAAAACAACTTTAAAGTGCTTTTTGATGAATAGCTATTTTTCAAAGAATGCAAAACAAAGGAATGCAAAAACTTGAAGATATGATATACACTAATTTTAAAAACATTTTGCTGGGTAGTATACTGTACAAAGGAAAATAGTTTGAATGTCTGGAATCAGATAAAATGATTAGACAAAACTATTATAGATAAGTAAATAAGAAAATTAAGATTTTGAAGAAGTTTTGTTTTGCTAATCTTAAAAAAAAAAAAAAAAAAAAAAGGTTAAATTTATTTACTTACAAAGATCTTAACATTTTGAATCCCCTTTGATTTATTCCCTTACTTACACAAATATCTTAACATGTTGAATTCCTTCTTAAAGGAAAAAGCAAAAAGTAAAACAGTTATATTATATTATATTATATTATTTTTATTCAGTCATTCATTACAATTCAATTATACTGAATGTATTTGAGTTTAAATTCAAGAGAGAATATTGTCTTGCTTTTTAATTCCCCCAAAATGAGAATGACAGAACAAGACTGTTTTGGGACAGCTTTAGCTGGTGAGCTTCCAAGCATGAATTTTATGACCAAATAGGCATTAGCACCACTGCAGTACTGTCCCTACCCCCTGATGGGAGGAGGAGAGAGAGAATTCAGGGCAGCATTGGACTTTGAAGGAAGCGAAGCAGAGAGAGAGAGAAAGAGAGAGAGAGAGAGAGAGAGAGAGAGAGAGAGAGAGAGAGAGAAACCCTTTGAAAAGAAGCAAAAGCTATAATGCAGCAGTCTGCAGCCAGCTCCACTCATGTCTACACAAAACAGATCAGTCTAACAGTGACAGTGGGCCCGGAATGGGTTTGCATTCACAATGCATGCATTCGCTGACTGTTTCAGAACCATGGAGAGCTCCACTGATACCAGCAGCTCAATCAGCATCCATTTCAGCACCACGGACAGAGTCTCTGCTACAACCGCTGCAATCCAGTCATGACACTTATACCACGGTGCATTTAATAAGAGAGCTTGCTCAACTGCCTCAATTTGTAACATGTGTGAAACACACAAATCGTTTCAGCACTAATGAGTGCAGGTTCTGCTGTACTGCAGGGGGCTGATAAGAACGCATGCGAGAAGAGGTCAGGTACAAGCTAATTTAATTCCTCTCTCACGGGCTAGAGCTGAGCTGTACCTGTAGGCACGAAGCTCTTTTAGAGACTGAGATCTTGCATCTAAGACCCCCTTTCCCCTTTTCCAAGAGGTTAACAACATGAAATGCACCGAAGGTCTGCTTTTGTTAAAACGCTCCAATTATTCCCAAGGATCTAAGACACAGGGAGCCGAATCCACTGCCTGCGGAAACGAAATACGATTAAGAAACAGAGAGACAGACTGAGAAAAGGACAGACAAGCAGAAGAGCTGTGACAAGCAGTCTTGTCCTCTACACTGTAAGAAAACATCTATAGAAAAATGACTGGTATTGGTAATTTTTTGCAAGGACATTATCTGTTAATTTTAACCCTAAAAAAACACAATGCAATGCAGGTGTCAAAATAGGAGTAAAACACCTGTGAAAAATGAATATGTAAAATTCCTTCATGCACTGTAAAAACTGGTAACCAGCAATTGTTACCTTAAAGAGGTATTTCTACCTGATTTAACCAATAAAAATAAGTTATATTGGTATAAATGTATATATTTAAGTTGATTAAGTGATGCTAAATTTAATTATGTTTAATATATATATATATATATATATATATATATATATATA